AATCAAACAAATTCAAATCTAATAAAATAATTTAATTTTAAATTAAAAATAGTAAATAAACCAAATTTAAACAGAGTAAAATAAAATTAAAAGAAAAAATAAAATTATAATAAAATAAGTGGAACGTAATCGTAATCATTTCCTAAAAGCTTACATTTATCTCGGCAAATTTTTTTTTTATTATTTAATAAACATCCCAATACAAATTCAACAATCCGTTAACAATCAAGCTTTTCTCCCAAGCCATGTTACCATATCTTTCTGTTTATTGCGCAAACTTTTCAAAAACTTAATTGCCGAAAAAGTCCTCATACGGTAATATATAACGGTTCAGTGATTTTATGAGATTTTTTGCAAATATTGCCAACATGCATAGCAACACATAAACGTTAGGATTATTAAACATTTATATGCATATCTTAGTTGGGAGATAATAAAAAAATTTTATTCCTTTTATCTATAAATAATAATTTTACATTCTATTGCTAACAAACCTATGTCTAAGCAACTGTATCCTTAGTGAGCAGCGCACAAGAAATCTATAGTTGTTGTAGCGATTGAAAACTTACACAGAGGTCAACTATGTCAAGCATTTTAATATGATTTATCTCAACAATTTTTGATTTATTTTATGTATCTGTATCTGATGAAAGGTTGAATAATAGCAATAAAGCTCAATGAATGGGTGTTAGGTGGATTAATGTAAAAAAAATAAAAATAAAAAACCAAAAGTCCAAGGCGAATTTGCAGAAGGCGAAGTTGTCACATCATATGATTGCTTGTTTTTCCTTCCGTTTCAAAAAATTACATAAATAAAATACTTAAGAAATAGGTTTTGGCATTTCAAAGTTCGTTTACTCAAACAAAATACATTGAACGATTTTCGTTTTTGATTTTTCGATGATTATGACTATGATTACACGAACAAAATACATAGGCTCACGGCCGCTTTACGCTGCCAAAATTTTTCCGAAATTCTAAAATTGAGTATATCTGATTCTGATTGACATGTACTTCCAGGCAAGTAACAATGCTACCTTTTTACTCACTTTTGAGCTCGTAATGAGTGCCAAAGCTTAGTAATTTTATAAAATTCCTGCTCGAAAATAATTTAAAATGTATAATACAATACAATAGAACAATACATTGTAGCAATCGGAAAAATGTCAACAAAATCAAATACGAAAGCAATAAAAAACTCTAAAATAAATATTTGAAATATTTTGAGAGCAAACTTTTTTCTTCAAGGAAAAAATTTCAATCGAAATCAATCAAATGTATACAAAAATGAGTCTTTGATTTCTCTCAGCATCAACGAGAGCGAGATAAAGTAATTAATTTGCTGTTAAAAAGAATTTGACAATGAGATAACGCAGTGCAAAAAAAAAAAAATAGAAAAAAAGGAAAATGAGCAATAAAATAGTAAACGAAATGTAGTAATTTAGTGAATTTAATTTAAGCTGAAATGTGAGTCATAGGAAAACTTTACCGTTACGCTAATTAAATGCGTGTCAGTATTGTAATAATTGATCCGTTACCAAAGGAAATTCGAAAAAATAATTACTAGCCTTGACGTGAAATCAAGCAACCCAGCAAGATGTATGCAACCTAATTAGCACACCAAAGCTCTTCAAATTACTGTATGTACATACCAGGATTTCATAAGCAGACGCCAAGGTTCTGTGTGAAAATATTTTTCAAGGTGAAGTACTTTTCATAAAATTCTTTTGTCAATAATAACTGCTTATTTATCACTCAGAAACACATACTATATATTGTATTAACTTTAACGAGAATTCAATCTCGCATGCGATAAATATGTTTTTCATGCTATAAACATTTTCATTAGCAACACAAAAATTTGCAATAAACGAAATTAAGAAATCAATTTTTTATACACAATTTTATTTGCCCAACATTTTATGCTGCTTTTATGTCATGCCATCGGCGCATCAATTGAGTTTAATTTGACAGATAAAATGTTTTAAAATAACAAAATAAGCTTGTTGCTGCCGCTTTAACGGCTGTTAAGCCAGCGTCTTTGCGCTTACAATAAATGTTGAAAATTCTGTTTAAGTGATTTTATATAGCAGTAAACAATATACAAATAAACGAACTTGTACATGGCAGAATGTTTATACTACCTACACATTAATCTGGAGTATTTACGCTTATTTCGTAGAACATATAAATTGCTTGACATCAAGATATTGATGTGCTAAATTAAGTATAATAAAAGCAGGCAAGCATTCGTGACAGCTTTAGGGCTTATAAAAAGCACGCTTTCTTAATTTTTTACTTATTTTTTATTTTTTTTTTATTTATTTAATTTTTCTTTAAGAAAGTATGCTGCCAAATATACGTATTTTTTCATTTAATTAAGTGTTTTCTTATGTTGTGGGCCTAAATAACATATGGATGTATATATGCATGGCATACAGTTGCATGTATGTGTAAGCTGTGGTGTGTCAACAAATAATAGATTACATTTACATTGCTTTACCTCGTTTATTTCTGGGTGTTGTAGACTTCTGCTAAAAATTCATTGACTAAATTAATCTTTTCCATGTGATGGCAGGAATACTAAATGGTTGAAGATTTGAGTGTGATGAATTGTGTTAGGTTAGGTTCCGTCATTGAGTTGGTGTGCGACACAAATTCCATGCCCAAAGGGCCTTGGCACTTTTAAATTACTGTTGTTGAATTTATTAGTTTATTTAAATTAATTTTTTTTACTTATTTCTTAAAGGTCATTGGATAGCAAATTGGCCCCAGAAAGGTATTAGGCTCATCGTTTGATGGCATAATGTTGGCAATCAACTAATTCGATACTCGAGGTTTAAGTTCTCTATTTATTACTATTTTTGAAAAAACACTAAAATTTTATACTCATCAAACATTTTTTTTCTCAGGACCTTGTGAAGCAATTGCTCTATATTCTCTTTGTATTTTAACTAAATACATTAATAACAGCTTTAAGTACGAAAATTAAGAGCTTTATCAGCTCATAGGAATCTTCAAAAAAACAGGAATACTTTAGAAATTTGCATTAGTTGCGTATTTCAGCATTTTAGGATTTTGGAAAAAAATTCAAAATAATTATTTTGGTATACCTGATTAAAGTTTCTGGGGTTTTAAAAGCACCGTACAATTTCAAAAACTGCTCATAATAATAAAAAAGTAACCATATTTTTTTATAGAAAAATTGATTTATTTTGAAAAATAATAAATGAATAGCAAATGTGTGTCAATCTACTTATATGCATGTCTGTCCTGTTTGATAGTAAGATGGCGGAACAACCAGAAATTGGGTCTGCCCATTCGACCATTCGGGCCTGCAAAACTTCCTCAGTTAAAAATGTGTATGGGTTCCAATAAAATATGCAATTTCTTTATAACCATCTAAAATTTTCCATTCGAGCAAAGCGAAGAATAATATCCTTTAGGTCAATCATATGCTACTTACCACTGATAGTGAACCATATCATACAGTTAGCTTCATTTATTTATAGGCAAAGCAGCCAGCCTCTGTCAGAGCATTAAAGAAATAGTAAAATATCAATTTAATTTTTATTTAAATGTATTTTTAGTTACATATATATACCATTTATTTAGATTTGAACATTCTTTTACACACAATCACCGATATGTACAGGTACATAAATGCTTAATATAATATAATATATATGCTATTTACCTTATACATTTAATGGGTTAAGGGTAAAAATTATACAAAGATGACATGGAATATTACTTTATAAAATTGATTAACTTAAGTTATATTTTGGTTTATTTTATTTAATATTTTTTCTTTCACTTTATTCCTTTTTACGGAGTTTTTTATTGTGATTTTATCTTAAATTATTTGGTTTGAGACTTTTACACATTTTATTTAATTTTAGTCAATTTATTTTAATTCAATTTGGTTTGAATAATATTTTATTTAATTTGAGTTAATACAGTTTAACTGTATTTTATTTAGCATATTAAAATTTAGTTTAATTTATTTTTTTCAATTTAATTTTCTTAAACCTATTTTATTTTATTTTATTTTATTTTATTTTTTTTATTGTTTTATTTTTTTTAATTAATTAACTTAAATTTATTTAAATTAAATAAAATTAAATTTGTGTTATCTTACTTTATTTTATTTTATTCTATTACAAATTTTAATTTATGTCATTTCTCAATTTTTTTATTTTTTTGGTTTTATTTTATTTTAATTTATTTTATTTTATTTTATTTTATTTTATTTTATTTTATTTTATTTTATTTTATTTTATTTTATTTTATTTTATTTTATATTATTTTATTTTATCTTATTTTATTTTAATTTATTTTATTTTAATTTAATTCATTTTATTTTATTTTTTTTATATTATTTTATTTTTATTTTATTTTATTTTATTTTATTTCATTTCTTCGTTTATTTAATTTTACTTGATTTTAATTAATTAATTTTTGTTCTTTAATTTATATTTTTATTTATTTGTTTTAGTTAATTTTTCGTTGGTTCAGCTTTTTATTTATTTTGCTTAAGTCAATAAATAAAATTTTTTTAAATATATGTTCTTTGCATTTTTTATTTACCTTTTAAGTTAAATTTTAAAAATTAATATTTATTTATTTTATGATATTTTATTTAATTTTTCTTGTTTAATTTAATTTCATTCCTTCATTTTTCTTCTTTCTTTTTATTTATATTTATTTGATTTGTTTTTTAAGTTAATTGTTTTTAATTATTTAATTTTATTTTGATAGACATAGATTTGCTTATTATTTTCAATTTGTTGAGCAATAATTATACATTTGTTAATTCGTTTAATTTTGAATTCGCAGGTTATAGATATATACATGAGCTGTGTTGTAGTTTTTGATACGTAATTTACTTTTATATTAATATTTTAGCGTAAATAATAAACGAAATAAAAAAGAACATTGTACGTATATATATATATATATATCTATATATTAATTCATACAAATATACATACATTTATTTCAACTAGTTCGAACAGCCGTAGATTAATTAGTTTATACTTAAATTTAGCTAAGCGCTAAGCACTATAGAATTCCGCCATACAGGGAAAGCATGGATGTGTGGTGTGCATTTCAGCTTTAATTTTTCCATTATTCTTCCTACATTTTTTCTGCCTACATATTCACACACACTATACAACTAGACGTCGCTAATTCTCTTATAAATCAGTGCGCAAGACTGGCGGTCGCTGCACTTCATTTACAATTCTCACACAGCTATTTGCACTGCCCTCTTCCGCCGCAGCCACACTCACTTCGCTTACCGCATTTACCGCACTGACATCACTCAACTCGGAAGAGTCAGCTGTTGTTTTGTCGCCTTTAATCAGCTGACCGCCATTGTCGCAGCACGCTTCGCGCGTGAGATTGGCATTTGTAATTTCCGCTGGCACTGCTTCGGACGGCTCGGCCACGGTCATTGTCGTCGCGGTTGTTGCCGTGCCATAAGTTGTATTTGTGACCATAGTTGTTGTATTGCTGTCAGCGCCCAGTAGTGCCTCCTTCTGCTTTTGGCGTTGTTGGCGCATAGCAGCTAATTTGCGACTCTTCTTGCCCAACTTACTAAACATGCTCACGTCCTTGCTATGCAGTTCAGCTGTCGGCGCAATGCCTGTGCCGCTAGCCGTGAGTGTGGTGTCCTTTGTCTGCATAGAGGTGATGGCGGCAAATGCTTTGCGGAAACTCTTTTTAAAGTTTTCACTTAGGAAAGCGTAGAGAAAGGGATTCATGGCTGAGTTGGAGTAACCGAGGCAGCCGACAAGCAGGAAGATGGCAATTTCAAAGCGTGTAGCACAGCGACTGGGTGTAGTGGTGATTAGTATTAGCTGTGATATCCAGAAGGGCAGCCAACAAAGTATGTAGACAGTGATGACAGTGAGTACCAGCCGCGTGACCTTGCGATGTGAACGTTTCTTCTCTTTCGACTTATTCTGTGGGCCGACAGTGCGCAGCTTACGTATGACCAAATAGTAAAAGCAGAGTATGAAAACGAGTGGTGTGGCAAAGCCCAGCGTAAAAACGTACATAATGAAAGTGAAGCCAGTTTCATGACGACCCAACTCAGGCCACTTTATGTGACAGGAAATATGACCATTTTGCTCTACGGTATTGGCAAATATGATGACGGGCAGCATTAGTACGGCGGATGTAAGCCAAGCTAAGGTCGAAACAATTTTCGAATTGAGCGGCGTTCGATATTGTGTCGACGAAATCGGATGACAGACGGCAATATAACGATCTGCGGACATGATCAATAAGAAAATCGACGAAGTGAATTGCGTAATCGATGTGCTGACCATATAAGCTTTACACATGAAGTTGCCAAACTGCCAGCTACCACTGACTATGGTGTGTAGCAAGAACGGTATGCCGATGAGAAAGCATTCATCAGCCACTGCCAAATTGAGTATGTAGACATTTGTAATGGTTTGCATTTTCGAGTAGCGCAAAACGACATAAATGACGAGCGTATTGCCGAACAGGCCGACTACGCAAACGATCACGTAAAGCACGAAATTCACCAGATGTCCAATAGAGTCGCCATTTGTCGCACAACTCTCATAGTATGCATACTCCAGTGTTGCATTGAATGTGTCGTTATGTATGCCCAGCGCAAAAGAAGTGTTGAGATTCTGTAGCGGCGCTGTTTCCACGGCCTCTTCGAGCGGGAAGAGCGCCAGCGCAGGTATCTCCGGTTCGTCGGGATAGGCGACTGTAATAGTTTCGTGTGACATTTTGTTTAGTGTGTTGCAGGCCTAAACTGCTTGTTGAGTGGAGCGTAAAAGCGCGTTTTTGAGTGGGTTACAGCTGCTTTATTAATACGCGTTGGGATTCTCTCTTTATTTTAAGCTACCAATTATATACCGCTCCTGTATTTGTTAGCTACACCTTGAATAGTTACTCAGTTTCCTTAACCGTTCATTGCCGTCGTGCGCGCTAATTGAACGTCGTTACTGCAAGTAAAAGAAGTAAGAAAAAGATAGAAAAAATTTTAATAGGTAAGTTGAGTTTGAGTAATGCTTTGTTTGCATAAATAGTTGTTGTAAGGCTGTTGACAAGTGTGCCAGGTAAGTGAAAAATGTAATTTTTCAGTTTTGCACATAATTTGCTGATTTCTTTTCTTCGCTTCTTTTCATATAGCTCAGCTGGGCAACACCTTTTACGCAACTCAATCACCTTGCCACCTTCACATCATTGATGGGCGTTCATAAATCATGCAACAACACAAGCAAACAGCGCGTTGAGGTGAAAAAGTTTAGAGTTCATTGAGAAAATAAAACTCTTAAGCTAATGCAAGGGCAGACAAGAAGGAATTGATGAAGAATCAGCGAATAAAAGAAAAAAAGAGAAAAAAATATAAAATGGAATATCATAATTCAATATCCATTAACTGTCCGACAGGGTGGATTTAAAGAGATTTTTCCACCGCAATTTGTTGCCCCGTTTTTTATTTAATTTTGTTCATTGCCTTCACTTCGTTATACATCCAGTTGTTATCGCTTTCATTAGAAGTGACAGCGCATTAAAATGCAACAAGTCAGCTGTGAAGTCTGCCTGTCGAAGCTGTCATTCGAGTGTCAGCTGGAAACAAGGAGACTATGGACTCCTTCTGCGTAGCAAAATGTAAATATTATATGTATGTATTTAAAAGGTAGAAGAAAAAAATATGCTTTTCGTCTCATTCGCCATTAGAAATTCCACCGGGAGAGTTTTATAAGGGTAATTAGGCTCATTGGGATCGTAACGTGTTCAGTGGCTCACAATTAATATAAACACGTGGTTTCATTATTATTAGATAATTATTCTTTCAGCTATCGTCAACCAAAAAATCTACACGGCAGTGAAAAGTGAAATATGGAGAGAATCGAAATTTCCTGCCGGTGTAAAATTCCTTAGCAAGCAAGGAAAATGAGTTGCAACGACAATGAATGAGAAAAACCATGACTTACAATTGACTCAGATTTAAACAAGGAAAAAATCCTTTGAATACAACACGAGACCAGGTAGGAATATTTTTAATAAATCTGGAAATTATCTCCTCGTCTAAAGAAGAAACAAATCGCTGGAATGGGTAAAGTATCCCATACAAACATTTTTAGAATGCCACACGGTTATCTTGGCATGACTAGTGACAGCGCACGATGGGTACCGAGTATGCTCACGCTTTCGCTAAAACAACAACCATATTGCGTTGGCTGCCCGGCATAACATGGGCTTAGAATATTAAATGTCTCCTTGGTCTACTGGTCACGACCCACCAATCACCATATAGTCGGATAAGTACACCACATCGAAGGTAGCGTTAAAATGCAGAAGCATTTTAAACAAGTTTTCGGATAAATGCAACAGGGGTCTATGTGCCCGGGCATCGCTGGCAGCAGTGTTGTGGCTGAGCTGGCGAGAGAAGGTGCCATTGTAATTACACTCAATTCTGGCAGAACTCTCGTGGAAGCTGACCAGATGGCTTAACAGAAGAACTTGGAGTGGGACTAGACAGCTTCACCTACTCGTATGTTGGACCTTAAAAGATAAATACTCCTATATCGGTTCACCCGTAGTACAACAACTGATACGCCAACTGCACACTGTTTGCTGGGACTTGGCGCTAGGATAATGGAATACTTTTCGGATGATTTTTTTCAAAGCGGCAGAGTGGATGAACAGGAACAGTCTCTTGAATCATTAGCTCCGTCATGGTACAGTCCTAAACAAGATAGAGTTTAAAGCCTATGGGTGTTAGTTCGGTGAAAAATAAGAGAATTCATCCCAACCGATTGTCACGAGTTATGGACCGAACACTTAAAAAAAGCCTTGGTGAGTGGGCTGATGGACAAATACACCAATTTAAGAAACTATCTTTAAGGAATAATATCGTAGTACCCTCCAAATCTATCTACTATCTGTCTACTAATTCTTATTGAGAAACTAAGGAGGGGGAGGGGGGGAATCCGCTGTGTAGCAGCGGCGATAAGAACTAACTCCTTAAAGCTCTGGAAGTCCATCTTAGACGTCAAACCAATTAGCATACAACTACTTTTATAAGAAACACTAAGTGCTAGCTGCCAGTCCAGCTCTAAAACTGTGAAGCACCTGTCTGCATTCAGAAAATTATATCGGAGCTCAGATAAACATACAGTGAGACCGAAAAAATGAAATAATCTGCCAGGAGCACGCTTTCCCTACCATCAGTAAGCGAGTACAGATCTTTGAACGATATTTTTTGTAATTTTTTTTTCTTCATTGGTTGGAACCATTGATATTGCCAAAACATGTTTAAATAATAAGAAAAAGCAATGAAAAGTATAAAACTTCGCAATAGCCAAGTAGTTGGCTCCCCTTACTGAAATTCGGGTTCTATTCGACCAGCACTCAAACACAATTTTTCTAATCGCGGTCGCCCCTTAGCAGGAAATGTCAACGCTACCTTCTGACAGGAAAAGAAAGCTGCTTATAAAAATCCATCAGCATTAGGAGGCGGCTTAGATTAGAATCCCCCAGTTGTTGGGAAAAGATCAAAACACTTACCAGAAATTGAAGGGGAAGCTCGGCTGGTTACAAAGCGCCAACTTCAGCATAGCCAAAGACGTTTTTTCACTGATAATAAAATATTTCTATCGTCAATCTTGACATAAATATTCAATTCCCCTCGAACTTCGTCTTTCTTTCTAGTTATTTTCAATTACTTTGCTATTTTTGTGCATTGAGAATCCGTTGAAATTATGACAGTTTCTAACTCAACTAAAGCTGGTAAACGAATAAATAACAATGCTGCGACAAAAGGATTTCTTCAAGAATATATATGAACTATTAACTTGGGCTCCCCAAACCGGGGGCTTGTCAAAAACACACAAGATTTATTCAAATTATGACATAAAGTACGAGCAGCGCCTACTTGTTGGGAATTAGGAACAGATGCTTTTGATCTGACACAAGGAAAATCAGTTGCGGTCAGGAAGTACACTTGAGAGACTGATAAACATACAAACATATATATGTGTGTCTAACAAAATTTAGTTGGAGCAACTTTCAGCGCACAAAAACCAAAAAGAAATAAAAAAAACTTCATTCACATGCGCCAATATGTCGGCTGTGATAAAATCGAATATTAGGAAATACAATATATATGCATGTGTGTGTGTGTTGTCTTACTTTGGCGGGGGAAAGAAAAATGAAAGCTTTGCAAATAATAACATTGAATCGCCCCATCATTGTCATGGGCTTGTGCCTACAACATTAACGCCATTTATTCTATGCTAAGTGACAAGTGTATGAGTATGTAAACAGAAATTTATTCATTCAAATATATATGTATGTATATTATACATGCATATATCCAAGGCGCTTGGTGAAACACTTGAACTCACATGAAAAATCTTTAGCGAAACGATTTATGCTGGCGTTCGCGGATAAATGTGTAACAAAAGAGATAAAACAAAGAGGCGTAATAACCAAAAAAAAAAAAAAAAGAAAAAAAGCCGAAGAAAGCAAGCAAAGAATCCCAAAAGACATTTAGATAAAGGAAAAAAATGGCAAGTGATAAACTTAATGAACGCGTTCACTTTATGCGTGATTGATGGGCATTTTGGTCTAGATTTCATACTTTTTTCCTACTCAAAAAAAAAAAAAAAAAATATATATATATATATATAATGCTATGCGCATGTAAAGGGTGTACTTTTAGAGGTGTGATTTTCAAAGAGGGGGTTTCGGATTAGATCTTGTTGGCAGCTGATATTTGACTTAAAATCGGTTTGGCTGGCCATTTCAGAGTCGTGCAAATTCATTACCAGAAAAATGGTTTGGCGACGAGAATTGGTTGACATAATTGCCCAACAGGCTCGGTCGTTCGAACAATAATGGATCGGTTCATTCCATGTTTATTCTAGTTCATTTCCAAAGACGTTGTAGAGTGCGCATCCAAAACGCTATTACTGCTGTGAAGCAGAGTATCAAAAAAAACCCAATCTATCCATTATCGGGCGGAACGATTAGAGTTGTGCTCATCCACATCCATTTCCATTTACATAAGGAACTTGAGCTGGTTGACATAATCCAACTCGTGCAAGATATGCATCCGAATGACCATCAAGCACGACGCACGCTCGGTGAGCGGACCGAAAGCGAGATGGCTATCGATCCCAATTTTAATAAGAAAACTTGGTTCGACGATTACTCACATTTGGTTCAAGCAAACTTGCTTTTGGTAATCCACAAGCCATTGTTAAGATGTCTTTATTTCCTCAAAGGGTCACTGTATGATGTACTCTATAAGCAGACGAAATTATTATAACATATAATAATTTATATATATAATATTTGGCGTTTCGTAACCGCTAAATCGATTTTTTCGGCCGAGCTCCTCCACCGAATTGTGGTTTTGCCTCTTTTAAAAAAAATTTTTTCGAAAAAATAGAGGTTAAACTAAGCTGCCTCTGAACGGCTGATGGTTTTTTATGAGGAGCTTTATTTCATGTCCGAAATACATTTGGAGGGGTGGACATTCCCTTTAGTAGCACATATTTCTGTAAAAATGAAACCGGCAATAATGTTATAGTCAATGGGGAACCCTATAGAGCAATGGTCATTGACGTTTGTCGTGCCTGAGTTGGAGCATGTTGATTTGGGCGACATTTGGTACCAACAAAATGTGCGCTACATGTCACAAAACCAGCCATATACCCAACGAAACAATCTATTTAGGGATGAAGCGCATTTCTTTGTGTCGCGGGCCTGTGGTGAGGCCCACAAGATCTTGCGCTTTAATACCGCTCTACAATTCTTTGTGAGGTTTTGTGAAGACGTCTGTCTGCATAGACAAGCTCGAGACGACTGATGCCTTGGAAGAGAATATTTGGTGCATTATTGCTCACATCCATCGCCCTTATGCTGAATAAAGTGGTTTAAAATAATACCTTTCGGCTGGAATTTATTCAAGTCAGTGGTAACTTGTCCG